AAGAAAATTCCGAGGATATCTTACCCAGGCTTGGAATATCGTTAGGAAGTTTATGGTTCTTCCAGATGAATGCGGGACTCGTATCCTCAGGTTTAGTCCTATTTGTCTGGGTGTCATAGGTCAAAAGAGGCTTGTACTGTGTCAGGGTATGAAAAAGAAGGACAAACAGAAAAAAAGACATTTTAAAACAAGTTTGATGAAATTGACCATCCTGTTCAATGACATTTGAATTTCATAGTAACACTTCTCAGTGAAATGAGATAATGTTAACCACTTGGGGAGATAGTTACAATCCATTTATTGCTTTACAGCACGTGGATTTAAGCCCCATGTGGGTCAATTAGTTTTCTGTTTTTTGATGACCATACACTGTGCCTGTCCATCACAGATTCTTCTGGTCTTTAGAAAACTGGTTCAAGTCTTTCATTTTACAAAGGTTAAAATAGAGGTCAAGAAAAATTAAATGGCTAGCTCCAAGTCACATGATATGTACCAATGTTTATCATGGTATTTAGTCGCTATTGAAAATGATGTCTTGAGAAAATGCACCACAGCTAAAATCCATTCTTCATTTTGATATGTGTCAAGGGACTCTAAAATAATTCTACATTTCTTAAGTTCTGTCAATTATATAATTTTCAAATGTCTTCTATTGCTTTTCTCTAATGAACTTTCTTGTACCCAACAATACATTCCTAAGAGAAAAGTCTCCTTTTTCAATAATCTGCCAATGGAAATATTAATAGATTCTCAAATTACTGTTGTATACATTGAATCAGCTTTGTAAGAGATATCTGAAAAATAATGATCTTTCTAAATTCACTACCATTCCCTCAAAACATTCTGGACAAGTTTTGCAACCTCAAAAAAATACTCTTAACTTGAGAGCAGAATCTATAATTGCATATATTAAGGATAGGAAATATGCTATATATAGGGGGCAGCTTTTTTTTTATATATATAAGGATATGGTACATTGAATCTCTACTGAGACCTACTCTGGAAATAGAATAATGTATCCATAGCCATAAATTTTAATAATTAATAACTGGTTTCCCCATTTACACTTATAGCACAATTAGTGGCATTAGATTATTGAAAAATTCAACTATATTTGTCTTTAAGAGGGTAAGTACACAAAACAAGATATTTTATGTTGAAGAGCAGTTACGAGGCTGACATGGGATCTTACCACAAGTATCTACCTCTCATCCCAGGTGTAAGTAACTTAGAAGGGAGTGTAGTTATCTTTGTTGCAGCTACTCGTAAATGAAGCATGGATGGGATCTTATTTTAAGATATCCCCATGGAATGTATGCTAAATATGGCATGATGTTAAAGGTCCAATATAGTAACTGAAAGTTTTAGATTACGTTTCTGAAAAGCTGCCCCCTAATATCTGGCTTAACTTTCTCAATCAGAGTATCTTTTCTCTACCTTTCTATATTTCCCATTACAGTTATCTTTTACAAAGCTGGATCAATATATACATTCAATATGTGACTAAAGATGTCATAATGTTCACAATGAAAATGACATGAAAATGAATAACTTTTTCTCTTCGACTTCTAGTTATGTCAGGCTACAACTCCTTAAATCCAAAAGCTTTCTACTGAGCATTTGGTTAGCTGGCTTTCATAGTTTGTGTTGACACAACTTTGGGCAATATAAAGACAGGTGTTTAATTTTAAAATTAAATGCTGATCAGTCAACAACTATATGCCAGATAAGAAGCTAAGCACTGGAGACATGTAGAGGTAAGACCCACTCCTTTTCTTTAAAGAACCTACTATGTAGGTAAAGTGAGAAAACATATATAATGTGAATAAAAGCATAACAGTATAGGGCTGTTTATATATGCCAGGGGGATTACACAATTAATGATTTTTATGGGAGTTCAGATGAAGAGAACAGGGAATGTTTCATTGAAAATTTTAGTTTTGGAAATGAAAAAAATTCTTAGGAGACAACTGTCATCCTCTCATTGGTATTTCATCAATAGTCTGGTCTTCCTATCAATGTATTCTGGGTGGTATTTTTTATACAGTAAATAGAGTGGATATTCTGAATAAAAAGTTCCATGGGTGAAAATGCTTAAACAATACTGCCGCAAGTGGGGAATAATTATGAATCTGAAATAAACTAACTTCCAGATTCTAAACGAAATTCTAATTCCTTCACTATTACTTGGCTCTCAATTTATCCCTCCTCATTCAGTTACTTCATCCCAAGTTCCTGATATGAAGACAGACATACTTTTTTGGTATCCACAGAGGTATACAGAAGCACCATCTTATTGTCAATATCCCCAGAGTCGTCCAACGTGATAGGACCTGTATAACCTAGGGCAAAACCAGAAAAAGTTAGAGGCTTTTGTTAACTTCTTGACCGAATGACCAGTTAGATCCTGATAGAAAATATAAAATAGGTTCAAAATGCTTTATTTTACTGAAAAATCGTTGACCTAAATGATCTAATCAGAGGGCACCTGAACTGGTTCTTGGTCCTGAGATCTCTGAAGGATATTTTTTGAGACATTCTTTAGTTAGAAGGAAAAATCTTTTTCATTACATTTATGATAGCACTAAATATAATCAGTCAATAGATTTCTTCTGATTATTAGTGAAAAGTTTTTGCTTAGAATATTTACTAAACTAGTATCACAGTGTGTAGGTCACTGTATAATCTAATGCAGATTATAAGAACAAAACCCACTATCACTTATTGATTGAAGACATTGAGAAAATTACTTAAGTTCTCTGTGTCTCAGTTTCTCTTCTTTGAAATAATAGCTGTATGAGACAAACCTATGAAATAGCTGTTTAGATAAAAAAGATCAAATATCAGCAATTTCATATGATATAACATAAAAGCTAATATTCATTTTGTGTTTATTAGGCTCTGTGGTAAGTGCTTTATATTCATTTATCATTTTATTTTCCCTGAAATACCATGATACAAAACTATTATCTCCATTTATTGATGAGAAATCTGAAATCAGAGATTTAAATAACTTGTTTCGAGTTATGCAGCTAGTAGGTGGCTAAACTAGGACATAAACAAATATCTCCTGGCTCTAAGCCTGTGTTAGTGGCCACTAAGATGCTTGACCATGATCACAGATGTGATAAAATTAAGAATGCACATAGGAGGATTCTGAGAAGATGATAGGGTACAAAGCCCCAGAAATCTGTCTCCTCACCCAGACAATAACTATACTGGCAGACTCTGTCTGATGTAACTATTCTGGAACTCTGAAGTCTACTGAAGGTTTGCAACTTTCAGGGGTTAGGTTTAGATGGTAAATTGTGATTAATTTCGGTCTGTTTCAGTTTTTAGCACAGCTACTTATGCAGCTACTTATCTCCCTCAGTCCTATAGCAGACAGCTGTGTATTTGTTCCTGGAGCAGCTCTCACACAGCTTGCCAGAGCCAGGGTGAGCAAAAAGAAAAAAAAAGACCTTGTCTTTTGAATATTGGAGATCTGCGTGTTCTGATTGCTGATCGTTGCTAACGATCACAGAGGTGCAAAGAAAGTGGTGACAGCCATTGTTGTTGCACCTTCCCATATTGCTGCAAACCCCACCCCCTCTGCTGATATGACTTGCACGGGGCATAGAGGACTGGTGCCCTTTCTACCCCCTTCACTTTTCTCTTTTTCCTCTTTGAGAGCCAGACTTTGACAACTAGGATATTCAAGCAACTGTGCATATGGGAGAAATTAGAAAGTCACTGTATGTGCCCAGGGAAGCCAGAGGCTCAAAAAAGACCAGAGGAGACCTTAAGTTTTACACCTTAGGTCGATTCTCAGCACAGACACAGCTTAAAACAATAAAAGCAAAAACAAAAAACAGCAAACCCTGGGGAATGGGAAATTTCTCATTCTCCATGTGATTTCCAGAATTATCACATTATTATATTCAAATGTCCAGATTTTAACAACAATAAAAATTGCAAGGCATACAAAGAAACAAAAAAGTATGGCTCATTCAAAAGAAAAATAAAGCAACAGAAACTGTTCCCGAAAAAGTCCTGATGGTAGATCTCCTAGACAAAGGCTTTAAAACAACTATTTTATCGATGCTCAAAAAATTAAAAGAAGACATGGATAAGCCAAGAAAATGATGCATAAATAAAATGAAAATATCAAGAGAAGGAAAATCTAAAAAAGAAACCAAAAAGAAATTCTGGAAATGAAAAGTACAGTATGTGAAATGAAAAATTCACTAGAGTGATTCAAAGACAGACTTGAGCAGGCAGACAAATCAGCAAACATGAAGGTAGGACAATGGCAATTATCAAGTCTGAGGAGTGGAAAAGAAAAAGGTTGAAGAAAAGTAAACAGAACCTAAATATGCACTGTGGGAGTCCCAAAAGGAGAAGAGGGAGAGAAAGGGAGAGAGAGAATATTCAAAGTAATAATGTCCAAAAACTTCCCCAATTTGATCAAAGAAATGAATATAAACATGCATGAAGCTCAATGAACTTCAAGTAAGGTGAATTCAAAGAGACTCACACCAAGACACATTATAATAAAACTGTCAAAAGACAAAGACAAAGAGAGAATTTTGAAAGCAGCAAGAGGGAAGGGATTCTCCTGTCACATACAAGGGTACTCAATAAGATTGTTAGCTGATTTCTCATTAGAAACCGAAGGCTAGAAGGCAGTGAGCCAATATGTTCAAAATGCTAAAACAAAGAACCCACAATAAAACTATCAACCAAGATTTCTTTACGACGAGTTACAACATGGATTGATCCTTGAGGACATTATGCCAAGTGAAATAAGGCAGTCACGAAAACAAAAATACAGTATGTTCTCACTTATATGAGGTATGTCGAGTAGTTAAAGTTATAGAGACAAGAAGTAGAATGGTGGTTGCCAGGGCTAGGGAGAGGGAGAATGGGGAATGACTGTTTAATAGGTATAGAATTTCAGTTTAAAAAATGAAAGGCGTTCTGGAGATGGATAGTGATGATAGTTGCACAACAATATGAGTGAACTTAATGACACTGAACTACACCTAAAAATGCTTAAGATAGTACATTTTATAATATATGTATTTTACCACAATAAAAAAATTGGGGAATAAAAGAATGCATATAAAGTACTTGTAAGAACTTGGGATACATGGGAATATCAATAAATGATTGTCCCTCCTTCCTTGTTTCTTCAGGGGAGCAGAAGTGATCTCTTGCTATCATTGTCATATACCATAGACACTGATGCAGCCCTCAGCCTTTAGCGCTGGGTGTCTGCTGTCCTCTGAAGCCAAGAGAACACTCTGCAAAAGGATAAGAGTTCTTCGGCAGAGTAAGGATTTCAGGTACATTAGCAAAATCAACCATCATTTGTCTTTTACTTAATACACATTAAATCTAAAAGAAAAGTTCTTCATGGTATCTGAATGAGATCTGGGAAATGAAAGGAGTTTCAATAGGAGCTTGTATGAAAAGGGAGTAGTTCAGAGGGACCTGTAATGGAAAATTTTGGATGATATCATTATGAGAGGTTTTGAGTTAGAGTTAGAGGGGTAACATAGGGTCTCTGATATCTGAAGGATAGAAAGGGAAATATGAAAGGACCAAAATCAAACCAAAGATATTTCTCTTCTAGCTAGTCTCCAAGCACAGCCAGGACATCACTGCTCAAAGTGCCATGTGATAAACTTGTTCGTAAGTACAGGGCCTGAGCTATATGCTCTCTCTTTGATATCCAAAGATTCAGAAATTCTAAAGCTGAGTCATCAATAATAGCACATCCCAAGTTTATACAATGATGTTTGCCTCCAACTGTGTTCAAAGGTATTTATCTGTTGATCCATCTATTGCCAACCCCCCTCTTAACTTCTCAAAATCCACCCATAAAGTCTATATTTCTTTATCTTTCTGTAGAAAGTATTAGGTGAGTATTGTTTTTTGCTCTTAGGTGACCAGTACCTTCAAAAGTGAGGTTCCTGAAAGCATGAGCAAATTTTAGGGTGGTAACACGTTCTTTGTTTTCAAGAAATATCTTCAGCACGTGTCCAAAGAGTAAGACACCATTCAAGTAGGCAAGAGCAAAGTCATTTTTTACCTGAATGAGAAAGAAAAATCTTAAAATGAGTTCAAAAAAAGAGATTCTGGTCTTGAGCCTGGAGCAAAATGTTCTTGGGGTCACCAGGGTACCTGGAAAAGTAAAGGAATATTAGGGGATTGTAGGGATGATATTCAAGGAGACTTTTGGAAAATATTTCCTTGAAGTGGGGTGCTTTGTTATCCCTGTGTCACAATTCTGTCTTCTCTTGGGATCGATAAGCCGAAAACACTGCCTTTAAAGTAACTAAAAGCAGTTGTACGTCTTTCCCATGATGATAAAATATATCATTTCAACCAAGAAGGACAACATACAGCATTTTCACAATTCTTGTAAGATTTTATATAAAAATAATGCTTGCTTATAGTTAAATGTTTTCATTAAAGAGCAAAAGAGAACAACAATACAAACAGCCTCCTGCCTTTGAGTATTATGAAAGAAGCAGGAGAGGTTTTGATTGGATGATATCACTGAACTGGCTTTGAAGACAGTTCTAATTGAGTATTACTTCAGGCCACAAATGTTTGCCTGAGAAAACATAAAATTGAGGATCAGAACACCTCTGCAGCAGTTGTATGCTGGACTTCATAGAATTGGGCTATGGCGTGAAAGCTCTGTGTCCCCCTGAGACCAAGTGAGTTCTGTCAGCTTGGGCATTTTGGACTATTCACCTATGAAGAATCACACTTTTGCCAGAGCCTAGAAAAGTGATTTCCGAATACTACACACTACAGTATATGTGCTACCAAATGTTAAAAGGAAAAAATAAAACATCTCTCATTGGTTTGGGTGTCCCTTATTGAAATCATCGTTTCATGAGATGAAAAGCATCCAGTTAAGACCCAGCCCCACTGAGAAGGGTTCGTAGCTCCTAATTTTGGCAGAGTTGTAAAACAGAGGGCTTACCACTGCTGGTCTATGGAAAACAGTGATACTCTCAAAGGTACCCAACTTTCCTTATAGCTCCTTGGGCCTGGCCTTTGCCCTCCCAAGGTTGTTTGATGTCTTCAGGACTGCCCTTTCCCTCTTCTCACTGTAAACCTGCTTTCAACTGTCTCTGAGGGCAGAATACATTTGATGAATTTGATCACATTAAGGTGCAGTGATCAACCAAGCCCAATGTGATATTGGAGTCAGGAGTCCTGCATTATAAGGTGACCATGATCTAAGTCCCATTGGAGCTTCTTTTGGGGGGACAAATGCTAAACCAGATGGGATGCTGAGATCAGAGGAATAAACCAGGACTCTCCTAGACAATGGTTAACTTCATCGTAATAGAGGACAATGTCTTAACCTAGAAGTATATATCTCTAAAGATGGAATTTTGATATCGGTGTCACCAGAAAGTTGCTTTAGGATGCAGGAAACTTCATTTATTTTACTTTATTTGTTTAATTTCTACCTCCCTTAAGTTAATAGGGCTTCTCCCATTTTCCCACATTGTCACTTTTATTCCGGTGTTACTGAAGTGTGCACTGCTGTGTTGCTCTAGAGCCTACCACAGTGACCTATATTAAGGAGTCTTGCTATTACACACAGTTGGTCTTAGTTAACAATTATTGAGTGAATTGGAATGAGTAAAAAAAAAAAAAATTGCTCAAATTTAGAATTTGGGTTCCAAATAGTAGAATAATATCTTACCCTTGACAAAGAAAACAATAGTGTGTGTATATATATCTATATACAATGCTTACCAGTGGTGCATTCTGAGAGAGATTGCTATTTGAGGCGGAATTTTCAGGAGGCAATGTCAGAACAAGGACATTTTTCATGTAGTCAGGGGCCGTGACATTGTCCATGAAGTAGTTGTTACTGTAATAAAAAGCACAAAGTTCCTCATGAAAATAGGGTCCTCTAAAAAATAGAGATGCAGCTTCTATAATTCACACATACTATAACATCAGCCTTGAATAATTTAAAAGTTTTATTTTTTCAGTAACCTGCAAAACTTTCTATTTTCCCCAGATAGGCTTATTTTCTACTACACCTGCTAAGTTGAATAAGAGAACTTAGGCAGCTGTGGTGAACATACACAAAGGGAAAGGAAGATCAGAATACGGTTACTTCTCTGAAGGAGGTTTTTTGGGGGCTCTGGACACGTGAGCTGGTGCATGCTTTCAAGGCTTAATGTTCCTTGGTTTATACCCGGAAACTTTCGTTTCCTTAAGTGCTCATAACAATTTAGAGATACTGGGATATGACAGAGAGAAATTTTATGAATTAAATGTACTTATTAGATGGTGAAATGAGCATGGAAGAACTAAACATTTTCTCTAACAGTGTAAACTTCTCAACATTCCCTTGTCGATCCTTGTAGCCTCAACTTCAAGACGATACTTGGCACATCGTGGACCCTTAATATTATATAACATTGTACTGCAAACCATATGGTTTCTAAGTTTCTTAATCATTTGAATGTTTTAATGTGCAAATAATCTAACATGTTTGAATTGCTATAACTAGGATGACCACCATTTAGTATTCAAATAGTAGGTAAACACATGTACTGAGAATTATTGAACATTTTGCTCATATTATCACAACTAATCCTAAAAGTATCGCTTATAAAGTGGACATTTTAATTCTCATTTTACAAATGAGTAGATTTAATCTCAAAATACTAAGTAATATCTAACAGTCAAATGAACCAGAAGTGTCAGAATTAGAACTTTGACTCAAGTAACGTCTAGTTTCAAATGAATCTCATGATTTTCCCAAAACCTATCCAGGTTTCCTTCAGGAATAGTGACAAAGGAATGCCAAAACTTTGGCAGTCGACTGTGGATTTGCTTAAATTAGACTAACCTGGCTACCCTGAGGACTTCTTACAGAGGGCAAATGCAGTTATTGAAAGCAGCTATCGATGTGGTTGTAGGAATGAAATGTTGAAAAGTTGCCCTCTTCCTTGTATTCTGCAGCTAAAAGCCTGAGTTGATTAAATTATCTTCATGCATAATTGTGGTCAAACAGGCTGGCTGTTCCTATGCTTCATTACTCTTAACACTGTGAAAAGTACATCTAGGTAAAATGACTAGGCAAATATGGGAAAGATCTTAGTGCAGTAATAGCTTCTGGTCTGAATACAGACGGGTAATGATTAATGATCTAGTCAGATAAATGAAGTCATATGACCCAGCTTATGGGGCAAAGGGCACAGACACACCAGTGACACCTTCTTTAAGTTTAATCTGGGTCAAATATTACCTTGGCACATTTAGTTTGTGGGTCTCCATCATATTGGAAAATGAGTGGTAAAATGAGGGGATGTGATAAAAAGTTGTTTCTGTTCTCCAGAAATTTCTCTTTTTAGTTCCAGAGAAATGCAGAGGAAAAGATAACTACCCAGTGACTATGCCACAGAGGGCAAAGAATAATTGTGTAAATCAAACTCATTTAACTGGAACTTTCCTTGTACCAAAGGTGGCTGAAGGAAAAATAATCTAGGACCAAAGGCCATCAGCAATTAAAGGCACAGATATGACACACATTCTCAGAAATAGTATTATTGAGATATGAGTTGATTTATCACTGCTGGCACAAAGACCTTAAAATCAGACTAGAGACCAGGATCTTCGTAGATAAGTAGACATGTGAGTTCTATGAGGTTTTCATAAAACTTTGGTATTTAGACATGATAGTGATGTCAAAGGAATATACCACGCTAAGGCTATGATTAATTAAATAAGAATGAGGGTGTGATGAAGAAGAAATGAAACAGTGGTTAAAATATTATCATCACACTGAACCCCATATGAGGCTGTGAAAAGCAAGAGAAAAGAGAATGTGTCTTCTGAAAATCCTTGGAGTATTTTCTTTTTGAAAGAAGAGTTCTTCTAAATATTATACCTACTTGAAAAGATCCACTAGAATAATGACGATGTCTTCAGACACTTCCCGGTCACCCTTGAGGGATTTGATGGTGTCTGGTCCACCACAAACAACAATCACTGAAGTAGAGAGAGCAAGACAAGGAGAGAAATATACAATGGCCTAAACACAATTAGGTGCCTGAATTTGAACCCAGTATGTCCATGCTATGTTTGTGTTTTAAGATTAACACTAATTCCTCAAATTACTACCTCCTCCTTTTTTAAAATTTACAGTCAGAGAAGAGATGCATGGAATCTTAGAAAGAATTTTCTAGACTATTCCCTTAATTTTATTGATGTAAGGAGACTGAAGCCAAATGTCAAACGGTTAACGAACTAGTTGATGCCAGAGATAGCTCTGATATTCAAGTTTTATAAGTCCAGTTTAAAGCTTATTCCTTTAAACCAGGCTGGAATTATTATAAAAACTATTTTCATTGGTAAGTGAATTGTGCCTTAACATTTGTAAAGTTGTTGGAAAAGATATAGTATAAGTTAATATGAAAACTTACCAAGTTTTCCTAAGCAACTTTTCTTGGGTTTTATTTGCAACTTCTTAACTCGAACTCAGCCTTAGTGATTTTATTGATAGAATCAGATCTAATTCTATAAGAATCCAATCTTATGCTATAATTAAGCCACACTTCTCAAACGCATTACATTATGAGAGAGGAGTTGGGGGACACTTCATTAGATCTATTTATATACTGTGTTTCCCAGTTGAATTGTAAACTCTTGAGGGACATGAATAATTTAATACTTTTTTCTTCCATAACTTGGTCAATGTTTTGCAACTAAATAGTAGGTTCATCATTCAGCAAATGCTTAATAATGACAGCAGATGATGATTTGAGTGATACCAGGAAATCCTCCCAAGCAAGCATCTTCCCATAGGAAATTCCCACATTTGATTCCTTTGCTCCTGATATATTCTGATTTGTAAAGAGCGCTCTGTGGAAAGTGAAGCAAATCACCTGATTACTCCGTGAGGATAATTTTATCCCAATAGCTTTTCACACTTGACCTGCAACTAGGAGGTCATTGGATAGATGAGATAGAGATTAAAAGAAAGTGAGACAATCTTCGCTTCCCTTGTAATTTTGCCTGAGGTTAGGTATCAGTAAACATATCCTCTTGATTGCCAGGACATGGGGATCAGAATGTTTGAGGAATTGTCACAAATCCAATAATATACTGGACTGAAGAGAACTTAAAAACCAATTTACCGATGATGGGTTGTGATATCATTTTGGTTTATAAAAGCTGGATTTTAACATCATCATTACTTTCATGATGTTAATATATTTGCTCAATCTTACTTTGCTAATTTCTCTCAGAGAATAAGGTTTTAATCAGCAAAAAGACAATGTAATAGAGTTGCATGAAACTACAGATCTCCCAAAAGATACAAAATAAATCAAGGTAATGATGATAACTCTGGGGTGGTAATTTGTCAAAATAACTCATAAGGAAGTGGTAGTCAGTCATCAGCAAGAAGTTGGCAAAAATTATCTGCACATCTTCTTACCATTGCTTTTCCTATTCTGGTCTGTTAAGATATTCTGAAACTGGTCATCTCCTCTCAACATGTCCTTGAAGAAAAGTTTCTGAGAAAAATAAGAAACTCCAGCCTCCAGAGCATTGAGATACCTAGAACAGAAACAAGAGAAACTCTAGGAAACAGGCTTAGTTTCTTCACAGCCTTCCATACCATTTGCTCATTGTTTACAGATCTGTCCTGGAACTTGTTCATCTAAAATTCATTTCCACTATTAACGCAATAGATAATTCACTTCGTAATACCGCTGGTTAAAATTGTGGGCATATACTTTAGTGAAAGCATAGGGGAAGTTTTAGGAAGTCTTCATGTGTATATACACATAATAGATATTTGGCAGTTTCCTTATAATGGCTTCCTGCTATTTGCAGAGGAAGTTTCTACTCTGCTCTATAAATCAGCTCCATTATCACAGACAAGTTGAAACCTTTGAATCCACAGTATGAAAATTCAGAGTTGTTAGGAATAATTTCCTTTCTTGTGTAAAAAGAACGTACGTGTGTTCTAAGTTCACCCCAAAGTTTCTAGGATGAGTGAGGCCTGATCAATTCTTGTAGTTCCCTAGATATGCAATTCCAGTGGTGCTCTACCCTAGCCTTCTGCATATCGTCATGCTGAGAGGCTACAGAACTAAGCAGCAACCTGAATGTAAGGATAGTAACACAGTCATAGGATTCTCTCTGCCACCGTTGCTGGAATTGAGTGGACCCTGCAATTTTATTCTAGCAATGGTGCCCATTACCCCGTTCTCTGTCCATCACCCTGCCCCCCAGCCCCCGCCCCGCCTTACTCCTCTGAAAAGCTGTCAGAGAAATGATTTCTAAACACTTGGAGGTATAGGCAAATTGCACATTCTCTGGAATCTTATCTTTCACAGTAATGTAAAAGCATTAACTTCTGGTTTTCATTTTCCTTATCTGTAAATTGGGGATCTTAGTACTTATTCTCTTTTCTTCAGAGGGTTTACTGTGAAGAATCAATAAAACTAACATAAATGTACTTTGAAAACTACAAAGACTGTTGCAAATGCAATACATGCTGATTATACTTATGACACTGTTTCCTTTGGCCTTTTCCCTTTTATTTGTGTGTAAGGAAGTGGGCTGGTGTTCACTCCTAACGCTGTTAAAGATAGAAGGTACATCTGATAACAACCAAGTGGCCTGCCATGAGTCTATGGCTTCTCTCCACGGCAAGTGCCAGAGAATATTAATGATTCTGCTTACCAGAAACAATCCTCAGACTCCGTACCATTCTTGAAAACATATGCAGTGCTCCAGGAATAAGTTTTGAATGGCAAATTGTTGACCTTCCAAAAATCAACCAAGAAGTACATCAACTTCCTAGCTGGAGACATCAACCTGGTTAAAGTTTCTTTGTAGTCACATGACAATCCAAAACTTCCAGCTGAAATCATGGGATAATTCAACTCTGTGTCAAGGCTATGTCAAGAAGTGAAAAAGAAACCAGTATCAGGATTAATTCATGTAGCATAAATTAGATCCCTCTTAAACTTGTTTCAGCATTTGGGTATAAATGGTAAGAATGAAATAAGGTCATTCAAATAGGTTTCTGACTTATGTAGGTGTCCCTCCCACACAGGTGAATTTTAAAATGACATTTATTGAGCATGTGCTATGTTCTAAGGATACTCTAGGAGTCTTCATGTGTCTTTGGCTTAGTTACTTTGATTTATTCCAAAATTAGTTGTTGTTTGGGCTGTTGTAACATCTAGGCTGGGACATATGGACTTTGAAGAGTAGGGCTAGGAAAATAGAGGATGGGCTACCACAATTGTTGTACAGTCCGAATAATGCCCTCTTCACTTTTCTCTCCATGCATTGCCTTATTTCCGGCTCTCTTATGGACTACATTTGACATAGACATCAGCTGAGGATTTTAGATTTTCCTTTCCCTGCTCAGCATACAAACTTTCTTACAGTTCCTTAAACACATCAAACTTTATTCTCCATCGGGACTTTGACAAATGCCAAGAATGCTGTTCTCCTGCCCGTTTGCCTGGCTGACTCCTGCTCATCTATCAGGTCCTAGATTAAATATTTCTTTATCCACCAGGAAAAGTTTCCTTGATACCTAACACCAGGTAATTATTTGGGTGAGTATCTGTTTAATATCTGTCTCCTCCACTAGACCACAAGCTCTTTGAAGTCAAAGACTATGTTTGCTTTGTTCACCTCAGTATCTCCACTTGGCCTGGTTCATGTGTAGGTGCTCGATATGTATCAAATAAAGGGAGGACAGCAACATTCTCTTTCATCTTCAGTGCTCCATTGAAAGGTTTCACTGGGCCTGTCTTGCATGCATCTCATACTCCCCATGTGCACAACCAAATTTATGTCTCAAAAATTGTTCCTTATCCTGATTTTCCTATTTCTTTTAGTGTTTTGAGATCTCATAGCCTATTTGACTACTTTCCATCCCTCACCCCCACATCCAATCAGTTATAAATGCTATTGAGTCTACCTTTAAATATCTTTAAAAGCTATCCTCCCTGTCCATGTCAGCAGCTTTATACTAAACAGGCTCTCCTCTCTGCTGACTTTTCTGTCATTGGTCTTACCTTATGTACTACAGTATTTCCTCCACAATGTTGTCAATTATTCTTCCCAAAGTTTGAGTTGCTTTTTATGATACTTTCCTGTTCAACTTCAGTGGTTAATTAAATACAACTAAATATAATTAAATACAACAAATATACAACTAATAATTGAATTAAATACAACTCTTTCACCTGGAACTCATGACCTCCCAAATAAGATCCTACTTAATTTCTCTAATTTTGCCTCTATTATTCCTTGTACATCTCTTGCACAGCAGCTAATACAGACTTTCACACATTTTCTACACTTCCCTGCTTCTTTGCTTTTACACATACTTCCTCTGGCTGGGGTGCTTATTCCCTCATCTCTACCCACTAAAATGATACCCATCCCTCAACATGTAACTTACATACCACTGCCTTCACAAAGTCTTTCCTTTCTCAGAGCTTAACTCTCCCACCCAGAGGTGACCAGTTCCTTCCGTGCATCCAGAGCTCCTTGTTACTTCACTGATGGAACTTATCTCCCTCTCCCTTGTGTGAGTCACCAGTGTCCTTGTTAACTTCTCTATTTCACAGGGCAGGGACAGTATTTTACTCAAGTTCCTCTATTCCAGCAAAACTAAAATGCGTCTTAGCACATGGCAATTCCTCATTAACTCTCCTTTCCTTCTGGGCACACTCTATGGCAGTATCAGCAAGTGGTCAGATGATGACTGGAGTGAGTATAACAAAGAGTAAGATTCTGAATTTTTTGGCACTTTGGTATGGAAGATGGGCTTAACGAGTGCTTCTATGGTGTGTGTCTATGGTATGCAGTGGGCCTGAGTCTGTGTGTACAGCTGGGCATGAGGTATCGGAAGCAGACTTTGCAATAGAAATTTCAGAGGTCTAATGTTTACCCTCCAAAACCTATTGCAAGGGGTCCTTCAGCATAGTTTTCTGTGTAGATAAAGGGTGATCCTTGATTATGGGAAAGACTGAACACATGAAAGGCATGTGACAGGGATTTTGTTTGGGGAAGGTATAATCTGGCAAAACAAAGTGGAGATGAGATGAAATGAAAGAAGGGATGAGGGTGATTGTCCCAAAGACAGAGAAAGATTTTTATTCTAGAACATACTGGAAGCTTCTTTCTAAGCTGAAAAGGACAGTATGCAAAATACCTTAATATGTTATTTATGTTATCCTCAAGTAATACAATGAAATAAATACCCTGCTACTTTCCATACTCCTACAGACCCAGGGTTAGAACAGATCTCTGCTAATGCCCTAGAATGCTGACCTTTATTTTGTGTTTTCATACACTCTGCTCATACTTTTGAGAGTATTTCCTTGATTAAACTCTTCAAATTTTCCAAGTTCACCATCTTCCCTGTTCCCTGCCAGGATCCTAACTTATTATCTATACCATGTTGCCTCTCAAGTTCAGATGTTAGGACCTGAACCTAAACAGCTACTGTCATTCACCGCACACTGAACAAAGGTTGAGTTACCTGGATAGGGGAATGATGGTTATAGACATGTCGCACAATACAAGGGCCCTAACACCTCTGATTGTGTTACCTTGACAAGACTGCTGTTTGATAAGTCATTTAAACACCGATGTCATGTCTTGACTTCAGTTCACAGTGGCATTAAAACAGCAACAAAACAAACTACTTACTATATCTGGAAGGTGGCATATGTACACGAAGGCCCCATGAGAACACAGCCCATTTGTTTTTCATCCTGTAGGAAAAACAAAACAAAACAAAACAAAACAAAAATGAACCCCTAAAACTAAAAACATGGATCAAAGGATAGAAAAGAAGTGGCAAGGGGAAGGCTTCCAGAAGCTTAGAAAGTAGGCCACTTAAGATGTTAGAATGCAGAGCAGAAAGGAGCGACATATGATGCCTCGGGCTGGGCCAGGGGCAGCTAAAGGATAAAGAAGTCTGAGAGAGAGACAGTGCAGTGGGTGGAGGGAAATATTCCATTGAAAGTGAGCTGACTGCAGGTGAATCTGGCTTCTTAATCAAGAGGGAGATGTAGAGTGGTTGAAGAAGGGCAGGCAGATGGGCAAGTGAGCAGGAACTGCAGGCCAGATTAGGGAGAAACTAGATTTGGAGGTGCTTTGGAGGGAGAGCTGCAAAGCAGGGCTAAAGAGAACAAAATACAATATGACCAGATAGGTGATAATAGAGCATGTTTTCTACTATTTCTCAAAGAAAATGTGATTAGGAACATCCCATCCTTGGTTTTAGAGGTCCAGGTCAAATTCCCTCTGTAGAGATCTGGGGAAGAAGTGCCCACCCCTAGAATTTTGAAGTGGAGTTTATTAAACTCCTCTTGCTCACTTCTCATCCTCCCAAGACTGAAAATGACTGATGTAATCAGACACTCTTCCTGCCATGGGTTCGGCCTATCTGCTTGGTGTGATGTTTAAAGCTTTGGGACATGAGAGATGCTCATGGACAGATGTCCAAGTTTCACACTCTGTTGGTCCTGTATCAAAAGGGTGTGAGCTCTATATACAGAGGCAGATACTTACTGAAATTTTCTTGAGTAGGTCAAAGCCTTCACAGGTGCTACTCCGACAGTCAGTTGACTTATAAATCACACCCTCCGAATAGATAAAGGTAGCATTCACAGTCACATCTATGCCTGTTATCCAGAAATGAGGGAAGAGTAAAAACTAGTGTTATTTTTTTGTAGTTTGTACCAGCCATGAGATTTATCTTTTACCAATTGATCCTGGGCAAAATATAGATATCCATTTTCAGGCCTAGAAATAATTAACTGAGTTCTGAGTTCTTGTATTACTCACTGTCAGTTCTTTCCTCTGTCTCTCTCTGAACAGCTGTATGGAGATATAATTTACCTCCCTAAAAATCACCCACTTTAAGTGTACAATTCAACGATTTTTAGTAAATATATACATTTATGCAACCATTCCACAATCTATTTTAGAACATTTTCATTCTCTTCACCCTCTTTTCACAACTCCAGACTCAGTGAATTACCTATATGGGTCAGGGGAGTGTTAGGAAAACAATGACACAAACATTATGACACCTGTGTTTTTAGCATTCCCAAAGTGGTTCTGTTTGCTGTCAGTGTGCACATTGGCACCTCTGTGGTTCATCTTCAAAGCCAAAGTGAACTATGCCCACCCATTGTGGCCATAGGTCTTAGGATAATGGATCATCTTCAAATGAAGGCAAGAGCATCCATGGTAATTACCCTGGATATTGCTAGGCACATTTTGGAAGGTAATAGAAAGATAGAAGAACCATTTGACCAAGCTCTGTCTTACATTCCGTCATCCTTCCTATACAAAATATTCAGGACAAATGTCTGATTCCTAAGCAGAGATGTCATTAATTTTGCCTAGCCCTTCTATAAGAAGCCTGGACACCTCAGTTGCTAGTCAGGCCTTGTAAGTGACTTTTTATGGGTTCCCACACAAGCCATTTTAATTTCTCTAACTTGGTTCACTCACATGTAAATTGAGGTTAAAACTGAGTTCGTCAAATGTAATACTTTTTAATTCCTTTAAAAAAGTAAAGCATATCAACAGCAGAAGCTATTGTTCTTCTGAACATCCAAATTAGAATATTTTTAAAGATATAGACCTGTTCTTTCAGAAAATAGAAAGGTCTTTGTACTTCTACAGCCATCTCAGAGATGTGTCTACCAACTAGGGAGCATTTTATCTCTTGCTTTTTTTTTTTTGATAAATTCAAGAACACTTATTCTGATACTTTCTTTAGTAAGAGATAAAAATAAAAAATGGCAATATGTTGTTTGGTAAGACTAGCCAAATAGGAGAGGTCAGTATAATAAAACCAGTCAGAAAAAATTAACAGAAGAGGTGAGGTCAGTGATGGATTTAATAGCAACTAATACTTGAGTGTAGCCATGTGCCAACCACAGTAGTAAGCACTTTATACCCTTTATTTTATTCAATTCTCCCAGCAATAGGGAGAATATACGGTATTTGAAGCCAGGAGAATGGTACGAGTAAGGCTGTGGCAGACCTAGAGGAATGGGAGAATGTATGTGAGACATAGTACAAAACTGGGGTGGAGAAGGTCTTGGAAAGCAGCAAGAGGAAACAGGAAGTGAAGTGGAGGCCAGTGCACAGTCATATGATGACAGGGCTGCGGGAAGATGGCCACACTTTCACTGTTAATGTATAAGCTAGCTCTCCCGCTCAAACTCCACGAGGAACACTGAAGATGACCCGCTTAAAAAAAACCACGGAAGATGGTCCATGACAGGCACAGCAAAACCCAAGTATAAATCCTGCACAGGGTCTGGGAGAAGGAGAACTGACATCTATTGAGTGTGATTTTGGACAAGTGACTTCACTTTTGGGGCCCCAGTTTCTCATCCTCTTATTCATAGAACATAACTGGATGATCTCTGTTACTATATGCCTAGCTTGGGCTATGGATTTTTGCATGTGTTATTTCACTTAATCTTCCCCTGAATCCTAGGAGGTTAATTAATATTTTACCTTCCTAATTTAAAAATGAGAAAATGGAGGTATAGAGAGGTAGATTAACTTGCTTAGGGTTACATATCTGGCAAAGAGTGGAGCTGGGTTTTGAACCTAAGGCAGTCTGATTCTAGAACCTGATATGCTGTGGAACAGCAGTTCTCAAAGTGTGGGATAGACTCCTGAGGTGCCTTGAGACTCTTTCAGGAGGTCCAAGAGGTCAAAATGATTCTCATAATTATATTAAGACAGTCTTTGCTTTTTCCACTTATCTTCTCTCATAAGCATATGGTGGAGTTTTCCAAAGGCTACATAATATGTATTATTCTGACAGATCAAATGCAGAAGCAGATATAAGAATCCAGCCATTCTCTATTAAGCCTGGCATTAAAGATTTGCAAAAAGTAA